AGTCAGGAGATTTTGATGGATTCTCCTGCCTTAGGCAAAAATGCTTCCAAATCTCCAGAATTAATCGCAAAAGGCTTAGAGTCAGAGACTCTGTACCTCACTCTGCCTCTGTTTATATGGCTGTCCATCTTCTCACTGCCTCCGGCAGGAACAGGATTAAATTTGGTTACACCGGCTTCTCAGAAGCTCTCCAGTGACTCACTTGGGCTGGTTATGCTCGATGCTTGTTGAGGAAGCACGGAAAGCAAAGGAAAGCTAGGCTCACTGCGATGCGCACAGAAGCTCAGCTTCAGAAATGCAGGGGAGACAAATAACTTCTGGGGTCCTATTCTCTTCCCACAGCAAGCACAGATGAGATGGCACTCTTCTGACACTCGTCTTTTTGGTGCTTGGCTTTGCCTTTCCGAGCAGGAACAGACCACCAGCCCCGACAGCTGCTGCTTGGCAAGTACGCTGTAAACATGCAACTACAGCTGGCTTTCAGCCTCAAAATCTGTCCTGCATATCCGCTGGGGAATGGCATTCCCATGATGACAGACACAAGCAAGGTCTACTTTCATAGCCCAGATCTGGCTTCTTTTCAAAACTCGCAAAGTTTTCAGCTAATTACCAGAGCCCGTAATTTATTCTTGAGGGCAGGCTGCATCGCGGCTTCCAAGGAGCTGACCAAAGTTATTACGGTGGCTGAGCTCCAGAAAGTATTATGATAGTGTAGAAACGAGCCAGAGTCCAGTAGCACCTTAAAGACTAACAAAGTTTGTGGCACGGGAGGAGCTTTCGTGAGTCACGGCTCACTTCTTGATCTATTATGGTAACGTTATTCGGGGCTGGCTCTCTAATGAGGTGAGAGAATGCAGTGGCTAATTCAGAGACAGCCACCACCATGCCTCAGTTGTCCTTGCTGTTGCTGCCTCTGCCACCTTCTCCAACTTACTGCCCCCTCACCACCTTTCTGTACCTTAGTTTCAGATCGGTAGCTGTGTTGGTCTGCAGTTGAAGGTTTCCAGCAGTATAAGCTTTCGAGAGTCAAAGCTCCATTCGTCTCGAAAGCTTATACCTTGGAGATCTTGGTTGTCTTTAAGGTGCTACCAGACTCAAATCTTGCTTTTCTGTACTTTATCACAGATGACACTGCTCTACAAATAGTCTTATTTCTGGTCATTAAAACCCTCTTTCTAAGGCCAGCCACCCTCCTCCTGCCTTTGGCCCAGTTTTTCAAGTAGGTAAACACCAGCCACCGAAGAGCATCTTTAATCTCCACTTCTGCCTGATGCCCTTTCATGACAATCTCAACTGACAGCTCCAGTGCTGAGCACCTCCGAAGGCCTGCTGCCTGTGTGGGTGGTCCCTGTCACTCAGCAGTGAATCTGGCAGCTGAACCACACAACAGGCAGGCCAGGGGAGGAGCAGGTTGGATTTCACTTGTTTTCTATCTTTCTTAAATCCCAGAGATAGAACTCAGTGTGGCAAAATGAACAAGGATCGGTGATGCGTTAGGGTTATAGAGAACAGATCCTCCTGTTGGAAGTATGAATCTGAAACTGGACTCAAGAGCTAGAGCTCCTGCACCATTACCTTTTGTGTAGGTAAGGGAAATTCGGCTGGCGCAGGTTCGCAGGCATACTGAGAGGAAACCGCCCAATATATTTGTTTGGTTTACAGGGCTATTTATATTCGGCTTTCTGTATGTCTGCGGTGCCTAACAAACCCAGCCATTAAAAACACACCCTGGGAAAATCACAACATTATAACACAAATACATCCATAAATTCATAGTTCAAAAAGGTAAGTGCCCTCTGCAAGAGGATTGCCTGGTAGTATTTTCAAGAAGGCAACAGGAAGGGTGTCCTGGGGATGTCCTGGGGAGAAGTTTCCATCAAGGGCTGAGCTTCCCCAGAAGCCTGGTGCCAACCCCTCTTTTGTTGAAAACTATCTGTTTGTATTCTACTGAGATTTTATGGATTTGTTAGCCCTCTTGGATGCTCTTGAACAAAAAGTTTGGATATAATTAAATAAATAATAAAATAACATAACATAAACAGGGTCTAAACAAAGCTAGCTGGGGGAGATCCATCAGTCTCTTAAGGTGGACTATCATCTTGCTGACAGGGACAGAGGCGAATGATAACGGTGCCTTCAGCAGATAGTGATCTGATAGGGTTACCAGGTCCTTTTCTTCTGTTGGCGAGGGGTGGGAGGGAGCTTCCCAGGAGTGGGGGGAGCCGGGTGATGTCACCACACTTGATGTCCCTGGTGTGATGATGTCACTTCTGTGTGATGTCATCATGCTGGGGACGTTGTGCTCGACCATGGCTGTTGGGGGCCAATTGGCCGGTGGTGGGCTGGAGCCCATGAAATCAGGAGATTCCCTGCTCCCACCTGGGGGCTGGGAACCCTATGATCTGATGGTGTTCACCAGAAACCTGCACAGTAGATCCAACGTATGTCTTTTATCAAATGCAGGATCCAAAACAAGTGAGGACACTCCTGTAGATGTCATGGAGGCTATGAAGTTCTGAGCATGGCCTAATAAAGGAGATTCAATGTGGTTACTAAAGACTCCCAGGACTATCAACCTCAGGTAGGCTTACCAGGTTCCTGCTTCTAGCTGGCTGGCCCTTCCCACCACTGCTCACCTGGTAGATAGGAGAAAAATGGGGGGGGGGGGAATCACCAGTGTACTCATGCAATGATGTAACTTTTGGCACTACCAGTAGGGACAGCATTGCATCACTGGTGATGATCTAGCTGAATGCTTGCATGTGGCATAATGGAGTTTTGGCCAAGCAACATGGTGGCATCAATTCCATTTGCATAAGAATTGACATCACCACATCAGGACACCTGCAATTGTCCTCCCGTTTTTCTTCTACCACCCAGCTGAGCAGCAATGGGAGAAAAATGTGTGTGGGATGAGTATGACTGGAACTGGTGCCACCACATTGATGACGATGCTCCAGCATTCAGTCAAGAGGGCCAAAAGCTACAGCATTGCTGGTAACATGATGACATCACTTTCATTCAGACTAAAAGTGATGTCATTGCATCAGGAAGCTGATGATGGTCCTCATGCCAGTTTGGTGTAGTGGTTAAGTGCGCGGACTCTAATCTGGGAGAACCGGGTTTGATTTCCCACTCCTCCACTTGCACCTGCTGGATGACCTTGGGCAAGCTGTAGTTCCGATAATTTTTATTTATTTATTTTTTTTATTTATTCAAGTATTTCTACCCCGCCCTACCCCGCAAACGGGCTCAGGGCGGCTTACAGAGGCATAAGCCATACATAAAATACAATAAAAATCAGTAAAATCGCGATCACAAGCAATAACATACTATTAATAATAATAAAATGCTATAAATTCCAAGATGGTCTGCAGTTGGTTCCTACAGGGAATACTCCCTGTCGACATTAGTTGTAATAATATCATTCCGGCAATATTAGTCCAAGTTAATCAGGTGGTCTTGCTGCCATATAGTTCATGTAGTTCACCTCGTCGCCGGGCTATCAAGGGCGCTCCAACTTGATGGTATTTCCACCGTTGGGGCCCTGATCTCTTCCGGGAGCTCATTCCACCAGGTAGGGGCCGCCACTGAGAAGGACCTAGCCCTCGTCGCAGCATATCGTACCTCTCTGGGACCCGGAACCACTAAACAGCTCTGGGTCCCGGACCGAAGTGCTCTTGGGGGTATATACGGGGAAAGGCGGTCCCTCAGGTAGGTCGGACCCAGGCCATATAGGGCTTTAAAGGTAAGTACCAGCACTTTGAAGCGGATTCGGTATGCTATTGGCAGCCAGTGCAGCGCCTTCAACCCAGGCTTGATGTGCTCCCACCTGGGGAGGCCCATCAGCAGCCTAGCTGCCGCATTCTGCACCAGCTGCAGCCTCTGGATCAGCGACAAAGGCAGCCCCATGTAGAGAGCGTTACAGTAGTCTAGCCTTGAGGTGACCGTCGCATGGATCACTGTAGCCAGGTCTTCACGGTCGAGGAAAGGAGCCAACTGCCGAGCCTGCCTCAGATGGTAAAATGCAGACCTGGCAGTGGCTGCTACCTGGGCCTCCATTGTTAAGGAGGAGTCCAGGAGCACTCCCAAGCTCCTAACCTCCGATGTAGGCACCAAAGGTACCCCATCGAAGGTCGGGAGCCCCAACCCCAAATAAGAGCTGTCCTTGAAAAAGAGCAGTTCCTGTCAAGAGCTCTCTCAGCCCCACCTACCTCACAGGGTGTCTGTTGGGGGGAGGGGAAGGGAAAGGAGTTTGTAAGCCGCTCTGAGACTCCTTTGGGTAGTGAAGGGCGGGGTATAAATCCAGTCTCCTCCTCCTCATCCACCCCCCTCCCATTTGTCTCAAGCCAGAGGCGACATCATCTCAGCCTTGCCCCACAGATTGATCTCCGTGCTGGTTACTAGCCTCATGCAGGCAAGCCTAATTTAGGAGTCTCCAGCATCAGTCTTGTACCACGAATCCTCCCCATACAAGAAACAATCAAGGATGGCCACTGTCTGCTCCAAGTCCGTCTCTTTAAGCTGACCTGCCGACTGATTATTCAACTGACACTGCAGTCAGACAACTTGCAATTTAAACTGATTTAAAAAATTCAGTCCAAATTACGTCGTTTTTTTGCAGGATATGTACATTAGTGTTAACTTCACCATTAACAAAACAGGAAAAAATAAAATGTCCTAAAAGAACAAGTAACCAAGGAGCTGACCCATCAACAGTAATGATTTCAGGAGAGCCAGTATTCTTGGTCGCATAGCTCATTTTTATTTCTTTTATTTCTTACTATTTTACTTCATTTGGGGCCCAAGGGATCAGAGCAGCTTACATGGTTCTCCTCTCCTCCATTTTATCTTCACAACAACTCTGTGAGGTAAGTTAGCCTGGAAGTACATGACTAGCCCAAGGTGACCCAGCAGGGGATTTGAACCTGCATCTCACAGAGATGACTGATAAATATGACTACTACAAGCAGATTGCAAGAGATGTTCAAAGACCTTACTCATTTCCATGTATTCTGGAGTCAACCCAGTGAAAGGTTCCAATACATAATCCAGCTCCCATTGCTGTGGAGGTTTGGATGGGGTAGAATGACTTTCCTTTGTCTCAGTTCGATCATCCTTTAGCTTTCGGAAAAGCTTCTTTAATTTTCTGAGGAATGAACAGAACAGGCAGTTAATGTGGTTTTTTTAAAAAAAAAACATCGATTTTAAGAAGCACTAGCATACCTAGCACATTTGACGCTCAGAGATTATCATTTTAAACACCCCCCTCCTGCTGCTTGTTTGGACTGAAAAAGCACTGCAGGCCTGGGTTACTTCACAGAATCATAGAGTTGGAAGGGGTCATACAGACCATCTAGTCCAACCCCCTGCCCAATGCAGGGCGAGCCTAAAGCATCTCTGACAAATATTCGTCCGGCCTCTTCTTGAAAGCTGCCAGTGAAGGGAAGCTAACTACCTCTCTAGGCAGTTGATTCCACCTTTGAACTACTCTGACCATGAAAAAGGTTTTCCTAATATCCAGCCAATACCTTTCTGCATGTAATTGAAACCCATTGCTTTGGGTCCTATCCTCTACTTCAGGGCTGACCAGAAGAAAAGATGATCCGCTCAGGCCAAAGGGGAGGGGCAGAAGGGAGAAGAGGACACCTGATGACGCTTTCTCCAATGCCACACCCCTTACCTGAGTGTCTAGAGCCCCGCCTCTTTATATGGCCTCCCAAATTCCAATTTTTGCTTGCAGGCTCAGTGGTGCAGTCTCCTGATCCACTCTGCTTAGCCCTCCCCCAGCCTCTCCCGGCTTGCTCAGCTCCTGCCCCAGCATGTCTACACGGCTTCTTAAAAATGCTCATTCCATCATGAACTCTCCTGCAGAGGAGGAAGCCATGCCACAGTCAATGGCCATGCCTCGAACTTCTCCATCCAACCAATGAAAAGGCAGTCATCGGGCACATGAACACCAGACTGGCTCCATGGGAGTGGCTGCACTGTCTGCGAGTGAGCAGCCTCACTTCAAGGGGCTTAGGGATGAGATGGAGGGAAGGTAGGGTTGCCGGGTCCCCCTTGGCCACTGGCAGGGGATGGGGGAGTAGGGTTGCCAGATCCAGGCTTTGAAGCTCCTGGATGGAGCCTGTGGAGGACAGGAACCTCAGTGGGGCACAATGCCACAGAGTCCATCCTCCAAAGCCTCAATTTTCTCCAGGGGAAATTGTCTATGTAGTTTGGAGATTACAGGTGCCATGTTGGGGACCCCCATTTTACTCTGACTACTAGTGTAACTCTCTCAAGTCACCTATTACTGATCCTTTTAGGTGGAGATGCCAGGGACTGAAGCTGGAACTGTCTGTTCACAAAACAGATGCCCTACCACAGAGGTTGCCCGTTCCCAGGTAGGAGCGGGGGAATCCCATGATTTCATGGGCTCCTGCTTGCTACTGGCCAGCTGGCTGGTGGGAGGAAGCCCCTCCTCAGACAGTCACGACCCAGCGTGACAACCCCAACATGATAACTTCACGCAGCAGTGATGTCATCAGCCAGGGACATCACACAGCAATGCTCTTGTATTTTTTTGGGAAAACTCTATGGTTACCACAGTGTTGCCATGCGACATCCCCAGCATCATGATGTCACTTCCACGTGACATCATCACGTCGGGGATGCTGTCTGTGGTGACGTTGCCTCACCCCCTCACTCCCGAAAAGCGAGTCCCACCCCTGCCAGCAAGGAAGTAAGACCTGGCAACCCTATCTACCAAAGAGCTACAGCTCTTACTCAAACAATCCTTCCAAAAATTCTTCCATTGTGTCTATCCCATTTTACATCTCTTGTGAGGTAACCTAGATTAAGATAATAGCAAATTGTCCACAGTAAGGAGTGAATTTCATGGCTGACAAGGGATTTATTTATTTATTTATTTATATTTTAATTTATATCCCTCCCTACCCCGAAGGCTCAGGGCGGCTCACAAGGGCACCATGTGCCAAGGTTAAAACAGTAATACATAATTAAAACAATAAATTACAATAAAACACAATAAAATTTTACAAACAAATTGGGCCAAGATGGGTGCCCTTAACACCTTCTCCACTATATGATGTAGCCATCATAGGGTTGCCAACTCCCAGCTGAGAAATTCCTGGAGATGGGGGGGATGGAGCCTGGGGAGAGACCTCATTGTGGGGCACAATGCCATAGGGCCCATCCTCCAAAGCAGCCATTTTCTCCAGGGAAACTGATATCTGTAGTCTGAAGCCTGACAACCCAAATTAATTGATTTAGGTATATTTTTAGGATTTTACTGTCTGTTTTAGTGACTAAAATACATAATTCAAAGTCATGATTAGGAAAAAAAATGAGAAAAGAGTACCATGAGCAAGAATTCTCCAATCATGAATTATTATCCCAGAAAAATTAGCAAAAAGATATACAAGCTAAAATGTCTTAATTAAATATTGGCAACTACCTAGACAGATACACACATATCACTTTATACTATATACAGTATGTTTGAGAGGAAAAAGCCAAGTTAATCCACAGGGCTACAAGAAAAATTTCCCCCACGACCTGCGCATGCCAGAAACAGAGAATATGAAGGAGTGATGTGTCTACTTTTTAGCTTCATATTTAAACAAAAACATCTCTTTTAAAACCAATTAAAAGTGGGCTTAAAAATAGTTATTTGTAATAAAAATGTCTCTAGTTTGTGCTCCTAGGTTGTGGGAGGCAGGTTTCAGTTTAAATTGTGTTCTTAGTTTACCTACAAAAGGAAGCAAGAAGGGTCAGTACCATGTGGAAGAATTAATAAATTGAAGAGTGATGGCCAACACATTTTGAAAACTGGGCTTCTTCAAGGTCTATGGCTCTATAAGTTTTTGTGTTCAATAAAGTGCTCTGTCTCATTGCTAGTATCAAAGAAGCCTCTGACATATCTCTTGCTTAGATGGAGTCCTACCTGAAGAAGATACATTTATAAAAATGCACAGCATTTTCATGGAGCTTAATTATTTTTCTAACCATCACTTTTTTGAAGTTCATCTCCCTGTTTTCTTTTTCTTGGTCTGTATTTATTTGTTTGCTAAAAAGGAAAAAATAATAATCTGTACTACTTTTCTCCCGACATAGAACTCAAGTACAGTTGCCCAGTCTGTGTTGGGAAATTCATGGAGATTTGGGATCAGTGCCTGGAGAGGGTGGAGTTTGGAGAAGGAAGGAAGGAAGGAAGGAAGGAAGGAAGGAAGGAAGGAAGGAAGGAAGGAAGGAAGGAAGGAAGGAAAGGAGCTAAGCAGGGATGTAATGCCACAGAATCCACCCTACAAAGCAGCCATTTTCTCCAGGAAAATGGATCTCTGTAGTCTGGAAAATCAGTTGTAATTATGGAAAATCTCCAGGCCCCACCTGGAGGTTGGCAATCATAGACCCAATGTTATGCAAATATCCAAAAAAATATCAGCAATTGAAGAGAAGCTTAAAAATTAGGGCAAGTGTACTACAACAGTCAGACAGCCTGGAGAAGGGGGTGGGCAGCAACAGGAAAGAAGGAAAGAGGAGGAATCAACATATGAACACTGTACTTCACAAACGCCTGGACAGAGAGGACAGAGTTTGTCTGACACCTACAAGAAAAGATGCCAAGCAGATCTCTCTTGGGAGGAAGCTCCAACCCACAAAGGTGGCTCACTCCCAGGTTGTCAACCACCTACTCTCAAAAGAAGATCCTCCAAAGACGATCCCAGTAGGTGGGCAGGTCACTGTATCTGCTTTCCTTTCTTTTTTCTTGTGTTACCATCTCCCTGTGATCAGGTTCTACTTAATAACTCCAACGATGGCTTCTACAGGCTGCCATTGTGCAGACCTACACAAGGGTCACTCAATTGTACAATCCCCCATAAGCTCCATTGACTAGTGGAACACTGAAACAGGAACTTCCCAAGTTCCAGCAACCCTGGATCATGTAATTTTTTTAGGGAGCATGAGTCCTTGTTAGGGAAACAGATGCTCTGAAAACTACATGTCCTTGTGCCTGGGGCACTGCTGAGCATTATTTATTTTATTTATTTCATTAGATTTCTTAACCGTCCTTCCCCACTTACACGAGGCTCAGGGTGGTTTACGACGACATAAATTCAATACAATTTTAAAACCAATTAAAACTACAAGAATTCAATATTAAAACATTCAGCATAAATATTAAAACACTTTAAAAACAAGATGGCATATCTAGCATTCAGATCTTCATGGGGGGGTGGGGAGGGTGCCAGGCAGATGTAAGGAAACCGTCACTGGCCTCAACCAAAGGCCCGGCAGCACATCTCTGCTTTACATGCCCTGCGAAACTTTAATAGATCGGACAGGGCATGGATGTCATTTGGCAGAGAGTTCCACCAGGCTAGGGCCAAGGCTGAGAAAGCCCCGGACCTGGTCGAGGCCAGCCGGATATCTTTGGGGCTGGGGATCACCAGGAGATTCTTATCTGCTGATCTCAATGCCCTTTGGGGGACATATTGGGAGAGGCGGTCCCGAAGGTACATAGTTCCTTAAGCATTAAGGGCTTTAAAGGTGAGCACCAAAACCTTGAATCTGATCCGGTGCTCCATTGGCAGCCAGTGCAGCTTGCACAGCACTGGATGGATATGTGTGCCCTCTGTGGCGTCCCTGTAAGGACCTGCGCAGCCACATTCTGTACCAGTTGGAGCTTCTGGGTCAGTCTCAAGTGTAGTCCTACATAAAGCGAGTTACAATAATCCAACCTGGAGGTGACCATTGCATGGATCACTGTGGCAAGGTCAGGGTGAGACAGGTAGGGGGCCAGATGCCTAACTTGCCGCAGTTGGAAAAATGCCTGCCATACAACATTGGTGATCTGCGCCTCCATAGACAGAGCGCGAAGATCACCCCCTGGCTTCTGACGGTAGGTGCCGGTGTCAGAGGCACCCCGTCAGTGGCTGGGAGTTGACTCCCCAATCCTGAATCCCCCCCCCCAGCCACAGAACCTCCATCTTAGCTGGATTCAGCTTCAACAGGCTTTGTTTCAACCATCCCACCATGGCCTCCAACCCCTCAGCTAAATGTTCGGGGCAGAGACTGGGTGGCCGCCCATCAACAGATATAGCCAGGTGTCATGAGCATATTGGTGACACCCAGGCCCAAAACTCCAAGCCTGCTGGGCGAGGGGCGCATATAGATATTAAACAACATTGGGGAGAGAATCGCCCCGAGGCACTCCACATATTAGTGGGTGTCTAGTTGACGTCTCTCCTCCTATCACCACCCTCTGTTCCTGATCATGGATAAATGAGATCAGCCACTTCAAGATTGTCCCACAAACTCCTACATCAGTGAAGTGGTGGATCAAGAGATCATGATCAACCATGTCAAATGCTGCCATAAGATCTAACAGTATCACCAGTGCTGACCCGCCACGATCCAGCTGCCTACGGAGGTCATCTGTGAAGGTGACTAATGCCATCTCCGTCCCATGGCCGGGGCAGAAACCAGACTGGAATGGGTCCATTGCTGATGTTTCATCCAGGAAACTCTGGAGCTGTTTGGCAACTGCTCTTTCAATTACCTTACCCAGAAACAAGAGGTTCAAGACTGGGCAGTAATTGGCTGGGTCAGTAGGATCCAGGGTTGGCTCCTTCAACCAGGGCCTCCTTCAATCCCTCTGGGTAGACCCCTGAATCCAGGGACAGATTAATAATGTCTGCCAGAGGACCCTGTATACCCTGTATACCTTTGCCGCCAGCCTTCACCAGCCACGAAGGGCAGGGGTCTAGGAGGCACATTGTTGGCCTGACAGCACCTAGAAGCCAATGTTGGATTAGGCCAATGGCCCATCTAGTCCAACACTCTGTCACACAATGGCCAAAAATACCAGGTGCCATCAGGAGGTCCAGCAGTGGGGCCAGGACACTAGAAGCCCTCCCACTGTTGCCCCCCCCAAGCACCAAGAATACAGAGCATCCCTTGCCCCAGCCTGAGAGTTCCTATCTATACCTTGTGGCTAATAGCCACTGATGGACATCTGCTCCATATGCTTATCTAATTTCCCCTCGAAGCCGTCCATGCTTGTAGCTGCCGCCATCTCCTGTGGCAGTGCATTCCATGTGTTAATCACTATTTGGCTGAAGAAGTACTTCCTTTATCCGTACTAACCTGACTACTCAGCAATTTCATGGAGTGCCCACGAGTTCTTGTATTGTGAGAAAGGGAGAAAAGTACTTCTTCCTCTACATGCTCTATCCCATGCATAATCTTGTAAACCATCAGTTTATACAGGGGCATTATGATACTGGCAGGTATGTTGTCAATTCCCTTCCTAATAATCACCAGCTGGGATTATTCCCCTCACCAGCTGGGTGGGAGCAGCCCCTTGGGGATGAAGGCCGGGTCAGGTGCCTTTACTGACTCCATGCTCATCTCACAAGTCCACACTCCCTTGAGGAGCCACTCATATGGATCAGATCCTCGTCGTCTTGCTGCCTGAGCCGAGTCATGACCCAACTTTCCTCGGGTAAGTCCGGGAGAGCGGAGGCAAACTCCGGACAGATTTATTACAGTTACAGGAAATGGTGTACTTGTGACTGAAATACTTACGGGACTCCGATTTCAAAGATGTTGTTTTGGATCAGCTGCTTCCCCAGCATGATGATGCTCAGCTGGATGCAAAGTTCCATCAAGCATCCTCCAGGAGCGCACTAAACAGAAAAGTGTACAGGTAAGGGTGCAAGCTGGCAGGAAATGCAAACCTAGCCTCCGTGCTCCGTCCACTGCTGTGGAAGGAAACAGCAGCCAGTAGACAGTAAAGGGCACCCCAGCACACGTGCATCAAAGAAGCCTTGGCATCATGGGATCTACAGTTGCCATAATGCCAAGGTGCCTCATGATATCAGAGGGTATTTCTTAATGGTCAAAGAAACAAGAGTGGGACCTCTGAGGACTCACAGAGGAGTGGAAATCCTACCCATCCAGTGCCCTGACCTCTATCTTCTCGCCTCTTTTTCTGACTAATCACCCATTTCCCACCCCTTCTCCAGCAGCCTGTTCTTGTGCTTCCCTCCGTCCCTCCTCCGCTACCTACTCAACTGGTTGGTTTCCCCCCCACCCTCCAGCTTGGCCTTACTCCTACTTTTTACTGTTGTGTGTGTATGTTTTGGTGACTTTTGCACATGTGCAAGTGTTGCATGCTATGGAGGGCAGGTTAACCCTGTTTATTGATAGACCTTGAGATTTCCGCAGCTTCTCAGAAACACATATCACCAGGGGTAACCCCCTCTTGCTGTGGGTTTTTTTATGCACACAGGGGATTATCAACCTCCAGGTGGGTCCTGGAGCTCCCCTGGAATTACAACTGGAGAAAGTGGCAGCTTTGGCAGGTAGACCCTATGACATTATACCCCATTGAGCTCCATCCTCTCCTCAAACCCCACCCTTCCCAGGCTATACCCCCAAATCCCAAAGCATTTCCCAACACACGAGTACTATACCCCCAAATCCCCAAGCATTTCCCAACACACATCAGTACTAAACTTATCAATCCCATGTACATTTTCTGAATCTATCTGTTTCACATTAAGTGTGAAGTCAGGCAGGAAGACTGGGAGCTTGTTCACGATTAGTAGCCGGTTTTAAAAGAGAGGTAGGTAGGAAGGAAGATCCCAGACCTCCTTGTTCAACCAGAAGAAGGTGGGGCATCTGTGTCTCCCCACTTAGTTGATGGATCAGCCAGGAGAACATCTGCTACACCTCCCTGTGATGGCACCCTGCATGGCTCTGTTGGATGTTTTTGTGGCACTGGAGTTAAGAGATTTCTAGTTAGTCCTGCAAACTGCAGGTGAAGACTCTCAGTGATGAAAGACGTCTGTATTTTGGATGGGACCCCAAACACAGACTACGGAAGCCAAGCAACTGGGTGAGAAAGAAAGGGCTGCAGGATTCCATAGCTTTCGTAGCTTTTAAGAAGTATTTAGCAGAAAGCAATGTCTGGACTGTCGGCCAGGTGATTTGTCCATTCAGAGCAGGGCGGGGGGGAAGCAGATTTTTAAATTCTTGGGAAAATAACTGTGCTTTTGTTTGCTTTACTTGTAATAAATATAAACTTCATTTCTATCTGATTTATTCCAGTTTATGCCATTGGAGAGATCTTGATATGACAGGGGAAACGGACAGCACCTTTTGCTTGTCTACTGCCAATGATTTCACCAAGCGACCTTGAATCATAGCATAGGGATAGGGACATAGTATTGTATATCCCATTTGCCAGTATCAAGGATTATAACCAGGGCCTTTTTTTCTGGGGGAACACAGTGGAACGTCGTTCCAAAACCTCTTTGTGGAAACAAAATTCTCAAAAAATGTTTAAAAGTTCATAAGGGGCACCCATGTGTTTCTCCTTCATTTCCCTCTTGAGAGTTCCAGCACCTCTTTTTCCAGAAAAAAAGCTTTGATTATAACTGTTACGTACTGAGCCTGAACAGTACCTGGAAACTGGCTAAGCTTGTTCCACCAGAACAATAGATAGCCAGGATCTTGGAATGGACCTATAGAGGAGGAGTTGTAATGTAAATAGCCTATCGGTGGTGGTGGGGTGTGCTGGGATTTGGTCTCTGCAGGCATAATAACAGTACATATTTTCTGAGAGCCAAATGGATCAGTGAAGTATTTATTTCTAATTGTTCAAGGTATGGCTAGGGGTAAGTGAAAACATGTTCAGAGAGGGTATTTAAATGTGCTTACTTACCTCTTCCATGCGATAGCCGTCGAACACGTACACATAATGTCCGGGTCGACCAACAAACCTGAGAGCAGCATAAATTTATAAGAGGGTTAAACCAATATCAAGAAAAAGAAGAAGAGTTGGTTTTTATACCCCACTTTTCTCTCCTCTAATCCCCTTCCCTTCTTCTCCCCACAACAGACACCCTGTGAGGCAGGTGGGGCTGGGAGAGTTCTGAGAGAACGGTGACTGGCCCAAGGTCACCCAGCTGGCTTCATGTGGAGGAGCAGGGAAGCAAACCCAGCTCTCCTAGGGTTGCCAAATCATTTTTACCTCGCGGCGGGGGGCTCCCGTTCGGCGTCCTGAGCGCGTGTGCAAAGCGCGTGCCGCATGCACGTCACCCAGATGTGACGTGATGATGCCGGGCACGCTGGGGGCGGGGCCACAGCCATTTGAGGGGAAAACTCTATGTTTTCCCCTCTCGCCAGATTAGAGTCCGCTGCTCTTAACCACTAAATCACACTTATTTTGGGTATCCAAACATTAAATTTTAATAGCTTCATAAATCTGAACTGCTTCAGTTCAGCATTAGAAAGAAACAATGTCCTGCTACAGGTAATGTACCTGAAATTCCTTTTTTTTTAAATTTAAAATTGTGAAAGTCTGCTTTAAAAAAACAGGTTCCTTCTCTGAATTATGAATACTTTCAGAGTCTACATCCATCGTCAAGGAAACCAGGAACTGAACCATGAAAGTGAAAATAGCTGTATCATGACCAGTAACTCTAGATCAACCATCTTAATTTATCTCAGTCAACAAAGACGCAAGGTGGGATATTCCATTTGCAAGAACATGAAAGAATTTAAAAAATGGATATGTGACATCTGTATTCCTCCTTTCTGTGGAAATTCAGACGTGTGAGT